AGAGAGAGAGAGAGAGAGAGAGAGAGAGAGAGAGAGAGACAGCAGCCTCCTGGCTCTAACTTCCCACACTAAGGGTTCACAACCTCTTATGGGAGTTATTTGAAAAAGTGCTCCTGGCTACCTTCAGGCCTGATCGCCCACGGTGTTCCGGCTAAAAGCTCATTTTGTAGCAGCAAGCTCTCCTGCAGGGCCAGAACTTCCAAGCTGCTCTTTCTAACTTGCCCCCATAGCAACCAGTTGCTGTGCTTCCAGCTCCGGTTCTCTCTTGGAGCCACTAATTCCTTCGCAGACTTCCTTCACAGACGTAACCACCCAGCTGTCAGTGGAACCACCTTCCAGTAAATCAAAACACTAGATGCTTAAAGATTAACCAAATAGATTTAGATAAGCAAATACGCAATACACAAGATGCCCACACTATTAGAATTGGTATCCCAAGTATCTAACCTTTTGATATAAATAACTTCCAGAGCCTGCTAGAGACACACATCTTCAGCCATCTCGATTCTCCCTCCCCCTGTCTCTCCTCTCTCAGCGTCTTTCTCTCCTCCCAACTCCTAGCTCTGCCTACCCCTTCCCTGTCCAATGACAGAGCGCCATTGAAAATACACTGGGCAGGAAATTCCTGCCACAGTTTGTTTTCAGTTATTTTTCCTGTAGATACTCAGTATTCTCAGCAGCATTTACTAAAGACCTTCCATTGTGTACCTTTGACATATTTCTTTTCAAATATAAATTGCCTGTAAATTCTTAGTCTCGTGTCTATAACTCTATTCCTTTCTCCTAATCTGTGAAACTGTATGCCAATTCTATGCTGTCTTCATTACAATTGCTTGCAGCATATTTTGAGGTCTGGTAGTTTGATGTTTACCCTGTTGGCTATGCCTATTGTTTTGGCTTTTCAGGATATTTGTTTGTTTGGTTTTGTTGTTTTGGGCTTGTTTGGGGGTGGGGGTTGTTGTTTGTTTTGTTTTTGTTTTTGTGCCCCTACATGACATTTAAAGTTTGTTTTTCTAACACTTTAAAGAATTATGGTGGTATCATAAGGCTGGATGAATAGATCAGTTTAGAAAGATCTCTGAGATTCTAATATATGTATGAATATTGGCTCCTGTCAGATTAGAGAAATTTCCATCCAATGTGTCTTTCAGCACATTTCTCAGCCTTAGTTCACTTTCTTTGCCATCTATAGTTTTATGGTACATGGACTAAGTGTCTTTGTGCCACTCCATTTGAGGACTATCTTCATTCACACAAATTTTGTCTTTTTTTTTTTCCTGACTGGTTAGTTTCTAATAGTCTGTCTTCAAGGTCACTTACTCTGTCCTGAATTCTACCAAACTGGCAGTTGAACTTTTCTGTAGCATTATTTTTTCTTTTACTTCACCTGTTATATTTTTCACTTCTCATATCTCTGTTGATGCTTGTACATCAGTTTTTCCATTTTATTCTTGTACTGCTTTCTAAATCTTATTAATTGCAAAATTAAACATTTAATTGATTTTTTTCAGTGCTAGATATCTACCTCATGTGTCTTAGGCCAATAATCTACCACGTAAGCATTCTCAGGCTCTATTACATGCTGAGTCCTGCTCAGCCATGTAGAGACTTCACAGGCCCATCCTAAAGCCTTCTTGGAGCACTCAAATATGTAGGGGACATTTTTGTCTTCACACAGCAGAGGGAGGTGAGAGATCATCTCCAAGGGCTCGGCGTCTGCTGCCATCACAATGAACTCAGAGATGTCCCTGTTGAGGGTTTTGGTGGCTTCACTGGCTTCTTTCTGAAGCTGCTTGTAGTTATAGCAGCTTTTTGGTGAGGTGGGCATCTGCGAGGGGATAGACCTTTGGATTCACATCAGCCTTCATCATGGCTGTGCTTTGCCAGCCTTGAGGCATCAAATGCTCTTAAGCACTGACCCATCTGTCCAGCACCCGTATATTTTATATTTTATAAAAATACGAAGATTGTTCATGTGTACATGACATGAAAGACTAAGTAAAACTGTCCAGCGAGACAAAGAAGTTTAACTGATAGTGAGAGGACTGAGAAAGGAAAAGATAGTAGTGGTGGAAGGGAATGTATACAACTCAGTATTTACTTCTATGAGATATTTTTCTGTACCACAGTACCATGTATAAAGATTATATGCTATGAAAGAATTTCGAAAGAAAATATATTTCTATAAATCTGACATTAAAAGAAATATACTTAGTGAGTTTGTTTTCTACTTTTATGTAAGTAGCTGTATTATTTATACTTCCACTTTTGCTTTTAGCTCATTGAATTGTAGTAATTAATAATGATGAGAAATACTATTTTAATTGTGATTTTCTAATTACCCAGTCATTATTTGAAATCATTTTAGCATATGGTGCCATAAGAACTCTGCTTGTGGGTTAGGAAAGATGACTTCAAAGAATTTAGTTGTGTTTAAATGAAGATCAAAAGCAATAGAAAATTGGTGTGGCAAATTGCCTGCAACTACTAAAAGCAATTTTCACTCTCTTTCAGCTAAACACTTCTAATTCTTAGGTAAACAACCTTGAATTAGTTGTTATATATCTATCTACCTATATATACACACAAATTACATTTATAAAATATTCCCAAGTCATATGATTAAAAATGCCATTCTGAATGCCCTGAAATTAAATAGTTCAATCTTCTGAATAATGGAAACTGAAAAATGTAACTTTCTTTAATATGAAAACACACATGGAAATGTATACTAACGTTTATATCAGTATGTTAAAATACTTGCTATCCTCAGTTACACCTGAAGATAATGTAAGTCATCAAGGCAGTAATAAAGTCAGAGAAGATCTAGTGTTCAAAGGGCTGAACCTTGAAAAATATGTTCTGTAACACCAAGGATGAACAGCCCCAACAGTGGCTAACACCATCATGGGAAACAACTAATTTCAAAATAGAGTTACTTAAAAAAAATAAATTCTTAGCTCTAATGGACTCTTAGTTGCAGGGGATTCTCTTTCCTGCCTTCTAAAACCAAAATGTGCTTACTTCTGGCCTGACTGTGCTGCCAAGATAGTCAGTTTCCAAATATGCGTACACAAAAGCACCAGGCCTGGGGCCAGAGTACACACTAAGTTAGGCAGTCAGCTCTGAAAGACCTTACATGACAGTCAGGAAATGAGCTGCATATATGTAAATTAATAAGAAAACAGCAGCTCCAGGGGAAAAACAATATGGTGAAAGCTCTCATACTGGGATGAGTACTTCACATCTTTAAGAAAGTTCAACAATCCATCAGAGTGCATGTTGTAATTCCATTTGTGTGTTCAGAAAAACTAAGGCTCAAAGATACTTGTATTATTTCTAAGAAATTACAAAATGTACAATCACATTCAGGAGATATATATATATATATATATTATATATATATATATATTTCCCCCCCTAGTAAATTCTTGTGCTGCTTCCCCCACAGCTTGGGTCCTGGAACCCTGGTGTTGAGGGAGTGATCAGCACACATAATGGGAAATCTGGAATTAGATGAAAAGCTTTCCTCTGCGAATGAGTCCAATCCCTAGTTAATGTATATTTTTTAAATTAAATTTTTGCTTATTCATTTTAAGTCCTGCTCACTTCCCCCTGTCTGTCTCCCCTCCCACAATCCATCCCTCACTCACTTCTCTTCTGAGCAGTGGGGGGCCCCTGGATATCCCCCAACCCTGGCACTTCAACTCTCTCCAAGGCTAGGTGTTTCCTCTCTCACTGAGGCCACAGAAGGCAGCACAGCTAGAAAAACATATGCCATGTACAGGCAAAAGCTTTTGGGCTAGCCCCTGCTCCAGTTGTTCTGGTCCAGCATGAAGACCAAGCTGTATATCTATAACATATGTGCAGGGAGGTGTAGGTCCAGCCAATGTATGTTTTTTGATTGGTGGTTCAATCTCTGAGAGCCTCAAAGTTTCATGTCAGTTGATTTTGCTGATCTTCCTGTGGAGTTCCTATCCCCTTAGAGACCCACAATCTTTCCTCCTATTCTTCCATAACGACCCCAAGCTTCAGGCACTGTTTGACTGTGGGTGTTTGTATTTGTCTGAGTCAGCTGCTGGGTGGACCCTCTTAGAGGACAACATGATCCTGTCTAGAAGCCTGACAGAGTATCATTTATAGTGTCAGGGATTGGTGATTGCCATAGGATTGGTCTCAAGTTGGGCCTGTTATAGGTTAGCTGTTCCCTCAGTCTGCTTCATTCCTTGTCCCTGAATTACTTGTAGACAGGATACAATTTGGGTTGAAAGTTTTTTTTGTGAGGGTTGCTATTACTCCACTGGGGTTTCTGTCTTTCTACAAGAGGTGGCCTTTTTGGATTCTATATCCCTAATGCAGTGAGTCACAGCTAAGGTCACTCCCATTGATTCTTGGATATCTGCCTTATTCCAGTTTCTGTCTCATCTTGTAGATATTCCCCCCTCTACCTCTTTATCCTTGTCAGTTGCATATTTCCATTCATTGCCATGGCCATCTAGGCATCTCTTCTGTCCTTTCCCATACCTGCTCCTGAATCCCCCATTCTCCACCCCATTTCCCCTACCTCTCAGTCCCCTCCCTGCATCTGCCTTTTATGACTATTTTATCCCCCATTCTAAGTGAGATTTAAGCCTTCTCTCTTGGGCCTACTTTGTTTAGTGTTTTTGACTCTGTTGTTCTTCCTGTGGAGTTTTGTGGATTTCCGTTAGGGGCTTCCTCCTGTTCCTCTATAAGAGTCCCTAAGCTCCATTCATTGTTTGGCTGTGGGTATATGCCTCTGTCTGAGTCAGTTGGTGAGTCTGGCCTCTTAGAAGACAGTCATGCTAGATTCCTCTCTGCAAGCATAACAGAGTATCATTAATAGTGTCAGGGACTGGAGCTTGACCATGGAATGGATCTAAAGTTGGACTGATTGTTGATTGGCTCTTCCTTCAGGCTCTGTTTTATCCCCAATCCCTACATTTCTTGTAGACAGGATAAATTTTGGATGGAAAGTTTTGTAGGTGGGTTGGTGTTCCTATTGCTCCACCAGGATTTCTTCCTGACCACAGGAGGCAGCCTCCTCAGGATCCATATCCGCAACATAGTGAGTCACAGCTAAAGACACCCCCATGGATTCTTAGGTACCTCCCTTATCTCAGGTCTGTGTCTCTTTTTAGAGATGCTCTTTACCTCCCACCCCCATCAGCTGCAGATTTCCATTCATTCTCATGCTCATCAGGCCATCCCTCTGCTCCTCCCCAAGTGTATTTTAACATGGGCACAGCCGTGGAGAAGACACAAGGGACAATTGGCAAAGCTGTTGTAATACAGCTTGGGCAAAACTTTTCTCAGGAGCTTTTCTGTGTATGAATGTTAACAGAATGATTGACCAGTGTGTGCAAAGCCTAAGAAGTATAGCTTCCTCCACCTAGATGTTGACAGCTGGAGACCTCTCTTTACAGAGACCACCTGCATAGACTACTTATCTCCTTACCCTGGGCTGTACCGAAAGCACTAAGGTTCCTGGTTATGGTG